GCGTCGTTTTTCAGTCGTGTCCCGCTCTCCGTGACCCCGTTTGGGGTTTTCTTGGCAAAGCTCCTGGAGTGGTTTGTCATTTCCTTCTCCAGCTCATTTGACAGAGGAGGAAACTGAGGCCCAGCAATGGGCGGTGACCTTCCTGAGTCACCCAGATAGCCAGAGCGGATGGAGGATTTGACCCCAAGTTCTCTAGTTCTTGTGCCCCTAAAGCCTTCCTTGATCCCAAGTCTGAAGAGCTCTCCTAGGGCATTAGACTCAGTGCAAATATGCATCCCTCTCTTTGGTCCAGGGTCTTTAATTAATTAATTAACATGATCCTCCCTGGGCTTCAGTTTCCTCCCCTGTAAAACAGACGGGCTGTGAGGGGCAGACAGCTGGCAATGTGGAATGGTCCCATGTCCAGGAGCCTTGGACTGGTCCCTGCCCTCTGAGACCCCTCCCTGGCAGCCTTAAGAGTCAGATTCTAGACATAGGCTAGCCATGACGCAACATGGCCACCAACGGGCAGCGTGGGCAGCATGGGTGTAAAGCATCCTGGCTGGTAAACTAGTGCCCAGGAGTGAGCGTGGACCTGCGTGGCCCTGGCCACCGGAGGACTCCCTGTTCTCACCCTTCCAGACCAGACTTAATAAAACAAAATCAAAGAAAACAATGGCTCCTGACTGCAGGCCCAGGGCTCTCACCACTCACTCCACCAGGATGCTTTTGGTAAGCCCCCCTTGCTTTCCTTATCATCAAAATGGCAATTGGTAAGAACAGAGGCCAGGCGGCATCAGCTGGGGCACTTGCTTCTGTGCTTTCAGTTCTCTTCTCCCCAGAGTCCTTTCTCTATGATTTCTACCCCGCTCCTTCCGAGTTCTTACTGTCCCATTGTTCACCAGACTTCCCTTAGGCTGGGACAAGCTCAGACGTTTGGGAGGACCCTTGTAGCAGGAGAGGACTTTAGATATCAGCTAGCCACTCACTGGAGCTGCTCTCTCCTCCTTGTGGGTATTCTCTGGGATGATGGACAAACTTCTCGTACGGGAAAGATACCAGAGAACCTGGCTTCAAATTCTGGCTCTATAACTTACTTGGGCGACCTTGGGCAAGTCAGATCTTGGTCACAGGAACTGTTGTCTAGCCATGTGCCCCCTGTCACATAGTTGTATGGTTGATTTTTTGGACCCAAGTTTCAAACTTTACATTTATCTTGATTATATTTCATCTTTTTAGATTAGACCTCTTTGGATCTCATCTTCCAGCTAGGTATTCTCTTGGATACTTCCTGCAATCCCTTACTATCCTAAGGTGAGGTCTGTGGTCTACTTTACTTCTTGGGTCCTCAGTTTCCTCATCTGTAAAATGAGGGAGTGGGACCAGATGATCCCTAAGGTGCCTTCTGGCTCTAACTCCATCACTAACAATGCCTTACCATCCTGTACAACTTGTGTCCATGGCCTCCTCAAAGTTCACATTCAAAATGCTGGGGCCCTTCCATGCTCTCTCTTGAAGTCTTGAAGACACCAGTGGAGGGTTCCATCTGTCCAGTGGCTCTCTTGTCCTTCCTGTCACTCATATGTGTCTTACAGGACACCCATGATCCTTCCTTCTATGCTTCAGTATTATCAAGGGCTACTGCCTGCTCACACCTGCCATATTGCTTTGGATGGATTTTCATATCTCTGCTCTTCAGAGACCATGGCATTCCATGACTCAAAGCTGTATTGCCCCTCCAGAAGATACTGGCATTAAAAAGACAGGCCTTCCTTTCAGTAAGATGCTTGTGGTCATTAAAAGAACTTTGCAAGATCCACCTGGCCCACTCTCTTCCTCCTGCTCAATTCTGGGCCCCAAATTCCCCTCTGATGCCTCAGCATGACACGGAGGTGACCCTGTACTGCCAATGGAATGCAAGCACAGATAATTCTATCACCTTGGAGGGGTTTTGGAGGATGAAACTATCAAAGGCTGGAGACTGCTTTCTCAATGAGAATGGAGAAGTTCATCCCCAGGATGCTGGCCATGAAGTGATGAATTCTTGGCTATAGCAACCTAACTGCCCATTTTACAGATGACCAATTGAGACTGCTAGAAAGGTTAAGTGGCTAGCCCAAGGTTCCACAGGTACCACTACTCAGTAGAGCTAGAATGTAAACCCAGGACCTTGGACTCCAAATTCAGTGCCCTCACCCCTATATATAGAAAAAAAATAGACCTGAGTCAACTGACCCCCAGAACTCAATCTCATCTTCACTATTCAGTCATTCATATGACAAGCATTTATTAAGTACCTACTGTGTGCCAGTACAACTGTGCTAGGCACCAGGAATAGAGATACCATCAAATCATAGAGCTGGGAAGGATCTGAGAAGTCTAACCTACAGATGCACATCAAAGGATCATCCAGGCTCGGCCTGAAGTCTGCCAGGGAAGAAGAACCTACTGGCCTCTCGAGCAGCCCCTCCCACTTTGGGAGAGTTAGAATTATGAGGACTCTGAGCTCCAGTCTGCTTCTCCGTGACTGTAGCCTTGTTCCTGCTTCAGCTCTCTGGGACCGACCAGAGCAAGTCCAACCACTCCACCCAAGGCCTGCATGGCTTCTGGTCCTTTCCCTATCCTGTTCCCTTGGACACGCTCATCAATGTTCCTCCTTAAGTGGAAGTCCAGAACTGACCACAATGCTCCAGCCAGGGCAGAGGACAGTGGCAGTAAGCTCTACTGCATTCAGAACACCATGGAGCTCTTTCATTCTCTCAGATTCCAAAGATATTTTTGGGAGGTTGGGCAATGGGGTAAGTGACTTGCCCAGAGTCACACAGCTAGTAAGTATTATGTGTCTGAGGCCAGATTCCAAAGACATTTTTTTTTTTTAGGCAATTGGGGTTAAATGACTTGCCCAGGGTCAGACGGCTAGTAAGTGTCAAGTGTTCGGTCTGAGGTCGGATTTGAACTCAGATCCTCCTGACTTCAGGGTCGGTGCTCTATCCACTGCACCACCTAGCTGCCCCTCCAAAGCCATTTTTGTAGGTCGCTGAAGTCCCCAGACCTTTCCCACAAGGACGGTTTTCTAGTCATGCCTCTCCTTCTGCGTACTTGTGTAATTGATTATTTGAACCCTCATGTCAGACTTTACATTTATTCTTATCACACTCCGTCCCATTAGTCGACCCACCATACTGGCCTGTCAAGATCTCATCACCCAAATGGACAGTCTCTCCAACTCTCCCTCCACTGTCCTGAGCTGAGACAGATTCTAGCCCTGACTCCATGGTTCAGCCTCCCTGGTTCTTAGCCCATCTGAAAAATATGGGTGATCATCTCTCTTCTCCCTCTCTCACAGGCTTGTTGTGGAGACCAAATGAAAAGGCAGATATAATAGCACTTGGAAAAAAAATTTAGTTTAGCCCTATGCTACGGCAAGGCGGACTGCTTAGCGAAGGGCAAAGAACAAAGTTGAGAGACGTGAATTCCAGCCCTGATATTATGACGTTGCTGAGCTGCGTGCCTGTGGGCAAGGCTCTCTGCCAGTTTCCTCATCTATGAAATGGGGCAATAATACCTGCACCGCTTCACAAGACTGTTGCGACGAAGGGCCTTTTGGAGCCTTAAAGGTTATAGAAATAGGAATATATTATCGTTAGCATCTGAATTCTGCCTGTTTCCTCTCACACATAGTGACGTCTACAGCGATCATCTTGATAGGCTTCCTGGAGCTGAAACTAAAGAAAAGGGACTCATTTTGTCCCAGGACACTAAAATTTAGGAGATGCAACCATTTAAAATAAGGATCGAAAAATATCGTGCAATTTTAAAAATTGTTACATGTTGACAGCACTGTTATTTCCTTATCAGCGTAGATGGGCAGCTAGGTGGCGCCATAGTGCACAGAGCTCTGGGCCTGGAGTCAGGAAGACTGATGTTCCCGAGTTGAAATCTGACCTCAGACACTTACTAGTTGTGTGAACCTGGGCAAGTGACTTAACTGTGTTTACCTCAGTTTCCTCGTCTGTAAAACGAGCTGGAGAAGAAAATGGCAAACCACTCCATCGTCTCTGCCGAGAAAACCCCAAAGGGGGCCATAAAGAGTCAGACACGACTGAAATGACTGAACAATAATAACAACAGAATAGAAACTCGTTTGGCAAGAGTAAGCTTGGGAAGTGAGCAGGTGGCACACTTACTCCTCTCAGGGGCTGCTCGCCAGCCAAGCTTCTCACTGGCCCAGCCCTGCTCCCCCTCCAGCAGCAGACCGGCTGAATCCTGAGGCCATGTGGGAGCTCGCTTCCCCCGTGGGGCTCCCCTGGCCAGCCTGGCCCTCAGCGCTGTCTCGCCCAGCACGGACAGTGGACAGTGCTGGTGCTGCCTGCGGGGTCTTTGTTGATGTACCTGTTGGGCACTTCTCCTTTCCTCCACTGGGGGCTCCATGAAGGTGAGACCAGGACAGATGCTTCTTATCACCCCACAGGGACAACCCTCATCACTCATCTGCTCTGTAGAGAGACTGCCCATCTCTCTCTCTCTCTTTTCTGATTGGTTGGCCAGGTCACAGCCCCAGAAGTGGGCACACAGCCCGGACATACCTGGGGAAGCTGCCATGGACCCAGAGGTGAAGCAGAGCTGATTGTGGACCTTGGGCACCATGTGACCTAGGACATGGGATGGGCCACGCATATTGGGAAGGCAGAGAAAGGGGGCAGTTCCAGGGGCCAGGGCCCATCCAGCTGGGCTTTTCCCATGCGTCTTTCCTCTCCCACAGCTCTTGCATTCCTCCTGGGGGTCAAGGAGGGGTTCATTGGCTTCATTCTCTGGGCCCCTCCCTCCCCCCCATGACCAGAGCCAGCACAGGACACCAGAGAAGGGCAGCTGAGCAGTGAGGTTTATAAAGAGACCCGGGGCATAGAAGCAGGAAGATCTGAGCAGCTGGACACGGCAAAGGGCTCAGGCCTGGGACGGCTCTTCTGCCAGGGGGCGAGCAGCACGGCAGGGCAGGGGAGAGGGAATGCCACCCTCCCAGACTCCCTCCTTCCCTTCCGCCAGGGCACAGTGTTACACGGCATGATGGGGGACGTGCGGGGCGGAGGCGTCCCCGGGACCAGCCTAGACGTTGAGTCCAATGAAGCAAGAGGGGAAATCCCGGCGCCAGGGACTTTGTCCATCTGATGGTGAATGGGGGAGAGCCACAGAGACCACCCCTTGGCCAATCCAGAGGAGCCGTCACTGGAGGCCGATGCAGATCTGGGAAGAGGATCTGCGCCCCTCCCCCCACCCAGACCCCCCTCAGTCTGAGCGAGCATCCAGGCAGACGTCCTGGGGGGGAACCACGCCATCTCACAGACACCATGAGTCAGTGCCACCAGGGCTGGGGGCACTTTCAGTCCCAGAGGGCTGTCCCATCTCTCCAATCTGATACAGCAGGAGGTAAGAGACCCAGGTCCCAGAGCTGGGGGACCTCAGTCTGGAGCCAGGAGACTCCCACTCCTGCCCTAGTCCAGCGGGCCCTGGAAGATAAGGCGGACACAGCCATTCTCCCCCGTGAGCCAGGCCCCACAGAAGGGACAGGCAGCGTGGAAGGCGTGGGTGCCATGGGGCAGCGGTGTCTGGGCCCAGTAGCGGGCTGTTTTCTCGGAGCAGACGTGGCCACAGGGTGCAAAGGCATGGCTCGGGGGCCCAGGGTCCAGGCACAGCCCTGCCTCTTGGCCCAGCCACAACGGCACGTAGGGCCCCACCAGGCGGCACAGGGGGCACTCACGCTCCTGCGGACCCCGCTCCCGCCGGCAGCCCCAACTGTGGTAGCCGTGGACGTGGCCGCAGCGCACGTACACCCATGGCTGCTGCTTGTCGGGGACGTCTCGGCCTCGGGCCGGGCTGGGGAAAGCCAGGGTGCTGAGCCCCACGGGGCACTGGGGCCGGGCCGCGTTAGCCTCCTGCCTCTGGGCCTCCAGCTGCTTCAGGGTGGGTGCCCGAAGGAGGCCGGCTGGAGTGCGCCACAAAAGGGTGGCCCCGCACAGATCGATAAGAGAGCCATCCCGAAGCACGTTGGACTCATTCTCCACCTGGGGAGGGCAGTGACAGAGTTAGAGAGGGAGGAGCTCCAGGAGGCAGCTGAGAGCATTGGAGACAGTGCCATGCAATGGTAAGAGCCCTGGGCTTGGAGGAAGGACAAAGCGGAGTAAGCCCTGGAAGCTTGGTCACCTGACTCCTAAACCCCGGGCTGCTTCGAGTCACTATTTGCTGTATTTCCCATCTAATCTCACATCATCCCTTTCTACCCATTTCATGGATAGACCCTCTATTCTACAACCTCCGTGCCTTTGCCCACACTGCTGCCTATGCCTGGAATATTCTCCTGTCTTCTCTTGGTCTATTAAATTCTTACCTAGACTGGTCCAGAAATCTAGGTTTGAGCATCAATGAAATTCAATAAGAGTGACTGCTGGGTCACATTACAACAAGATGGTAGACATTTTCTCCGATCCTCAAACCTCTCCAAAACAGAAATTATGCACCCAAGATAAAGCAACATCAACTTTCTTCATGGTCTAGGGCACCCAGAATCCAAAAGAAGGTAAAAAACAACCAAAAAACCCCCCAAAACACCAAAAACCAAAACAAAATTCAACACCCCAGGAATTGATGCTGACACTGAGCTCACTCCACTCCCCCGCCACCTCCCACCTACCGTCAGTAAGGCTAGATACCTGAGGACACAACAGAGGTTTGCATCAACATCGACCCCTGCACCCTGTTCCTCTGCTAGAGACCCCAGCTCTGGGCTGTGGAAGTTCATTGGGCCACAACAGCCAGCTTGTCCATAGCCCATCAGGAGCAAAGTTCTGCCCTGCTGAAAAGCTCTGATCTGCCAGTACTGGGCCAGAGAACTGAGGAACAGAGAGGGTGGGACAGGTCACCAGGACAGGATGTCATGTGCTGGGGATGCACCCCCACGAGGCCTGAGGGGAGAGCACAGTATCCCGCTGGGGCTAGTTCTGATCACCCCAAACTCAGCTGGGGCAGGGACCTATGTTGGTGAACTGGGAACTGCCCAGCTTATAGAAGGAGGCTGAAACGCTTTGAGATCCAGCCCCTAAGAAAACCACAATCAGAGGGGAGAGAGTCAGAAGTGAGTGATGGAGAAAACTGAGGGGGAAAAATACGGAAAGTATCAAAGATTTCAAGAAGAAGAAAACTCAAAGACCTTGAACATAAACAGATGAATCAACAGGAAAAGCAGTAACAACAGAAGGAACCATGGCCTCCGGATAAATGAGTTTGGGCGTCTGTGAATAAATACTGCAGAATAAGGAAAATGATCAAACTCTTGATAAGACAGAGGACTCGTGGAAGCTGGAACCACAACACGCTGTTCCTAAATGGTTTAAAAGAGAAATGAGAATTATGAGAGCAGAACTTATGGCCTGTGCAGCAGAAACAGTGAACAGAACAGAAAAACCGGAATCTGTAATGGCAAACCTCACCAAAGAAACAAGAGAGAACAGCAGACTGGGAACACAAACAGAGAAAAAGACAATCTCGAAGAAGAGAAGAAAAAAACAAGAACATTAAAAGAAAAAATGCAAACAAAACCTGCAGACCTTGAAGATGGGGTGTGCAGAGACAGCCTAAGGATTCTAAGTCTCCCAGAAGAGCATGACAGGACAAAACCCTTAATACCATAATGAAGGAAATAGTAGAAGAAAAGTAACAAGAAATTCTGAACGTAGAAAATGAAGTTCCAAATGAAAGAATTCACAGATTGCCACCAGGAAAAAAAAAAAAAGAGGCTGTAAACTTCAAGACACATAGTGGTTAAATTTAACAATTCAATTCAGAAACAACGAGTTCTGCAAGCCATCAGGAGAAAGACCTTCAAATATAAAGGAAAGGGCATTTGAATAAAGCAGGACTATTCTGCAGCCACCAGAAAAGGAGGAGAGACTGGAATAAAATGTTCTGAAAAGCAGGAGCTCAGGATGCAGCCCAGGGTGACCTGTCCTGCAAATCCAAGCTGAACCATACAGGACCAAAGATGGGCAATCAATAATAAAGAAGAGTTTGAAACATTTGTATAAAGAAAGCCAGAACTGAAGAGAGGGTTTGTATCTCAAACACTCCAAACAACAGAAATGCAGGAAGAGTGAATAGAATGCAGTGGGCAAGGCCAGCCGCAGCAACAGTGACAACAGGGAGACCAGGAGGAGGCTTCTTCCTAAAGGGCCACAAGGGGACAGAGACGAGGACAGAAATCTTATAGAGGCATCAGTGAAGGGGTGGAGGGAGAATGCTGCTTCTGTGGGACTACATTACAACATGGGAGAGTACATAAAGGGGGGAGGGGAACAATGCACCAGGTCAAACCAAAGGCTGGCAGTGAGGGGAAGGGGACCTCTGTGGTCTCAGAAAGAGAAGAGCCTATAGGGGAGTGGGTGAGGAGGAGGGGGAAAGATTGAAAGATGAAGGAAAAGGAAGGAAGAGGCCTTACTGTGAAGGTGGGAGGGGGTCCCACCAATGAATGCCCCTATGGGTGGAGGCTTCATCTCACACCCTGCCAACTGGCAAAAATGACCAAAAATGACCAAAACATTCAATGTTGGAGAGGTTGTGGAAAAAGAGGCACACTAATACATTGTTGGTGGACCTATGAAATGGTACAACCATTCTGGAAAGCAGTTTGGAATTATACAAATAAAGTAACTAAAATGCCCCTGCCCATTGAACCAGAGACTCTTTACTGGGTTTATACCCCCAGGAAACCATCAATAAGAAGAAAGCCCTCATATACTCCAATATATATTTTAGTAGAACTTTTTGTGATTGCTAAGAATTGGAAACAAAGTAGAAATCCATCAATTGGGGAACGTCTACACAAATATATGAATATGTGAATATAAAAGAATATTACTATGCTGGCAGAAATGATGTGTGTGATGAATATAAAGAAGCCTGGGCAGAGCTATCTGAACTGATGCAGAACCAAGAAAAAAATCTGCACAGTGACCATGACGGTGTAAATAGAAAGAACAAGGACACCAAAAATCAAAAGTAAAATTATAAAGATAAGCAGGACTCAGATGCAGGGAGATGAAAAGGCACCCCTAGCCTGCCCCTTCATGGAGGAGGGAGGTCCACAGGGCTTACACTCTGGACCTGGTCAATGTAGCAACCATCCGTGCTAACATTTGTGCCATGGGATGGCTCTCTGTGACGGAGAAGGGGAGGGATAATGGGCTAATTTCAATAAAAACATTTTTTTAAAAAAGAAATTCAATAGGGGTAAATGTAATGTCTTACATCTGGGTTCAAAAATCAGCTTCACAGGGATGGGGCGTCAGTTAAACATCAGAAGTTTGTCAAAAAACAGATTTGAGGCTTTTTAGTGGATTGTAGACTCCATACGCGTCAGTGGTGAGAGGGCAGCTGGGCTGCATTGAGAGGGGTCGGAGCTCCCAAGAATAATGTGGAGACGGTCCCCCTGTGCTCTGACCTCATCTGACCTCCTCTAGAGGTCCTCGAGCAGAGGCTGGATGGGACCCCATGTGGTGCATGTTCTAGAGGGATTCCTTTTATGCTTCCACTCAAGTCCCTCCCTACTCCACGATTCTGCAGCCTTGGACAAGTCCCTTCCCCTCTCCAGGCCTCGGTTTCTCCATTTGTAAGATGAAGGGATTGGCTGAGACTGTCTCTCAAAGTATCTTCCCACTCTAAAGCTCAGGAAACGACCAGGCCTGTATCCCCTGACTCCTTGTAGGTCTGGCCCCCTCCTAAGCCCATCTGCTCAGGCTGCACATTGATATTCCTTTTTTTTTAGCTAGGCAATGGGGTTAAATGACTTGCCCAGGGTCACACAGCTAGTGAGTGTTATGTGTCTGAGGCTGGATTTGAACTCAGGTCCTCCTGACTCCACAGCCGGTGCTCTATCCACTGCACCACCTAACTGCCCCTACATTCATCTTCTTCAAGAAGGAGTAATGGTGACGAAAACCCTGATGCTATTTATTTCACAGTCCTACAGCCCTCTGCCCCCATTATCTCATCTGAACCTCACAACAACCTGCTGAGGTAGGCACTGCCATTAGCAGCCACATTTTACAAGGGAGGAAACTGAGGCTTAGGGAGGTGAGTGACTTTCTCAGGGTCACAGAGCCAATAAAGGTCAAAGGCAGGATTAGAACCCGGGTGTTCTTGTTTCTGAGCCCAGGCCGCCACACCAACCCTCACACAGGACACAGCACAGTTCTCCTTCACGCGCTATCGAAACCTCACCCTTTTGGCAAAGTAGAGTGGAAAGACTCCTCCTGCTAGGACATGGAGTCGATGGAACTGGGTTCAGATCCCACCCCTGAAGCTTATTCCCTGTGTGACTGTGGGCAAGTCACTTCATCTCCCTGGGCCTCAGTTTCCTCATCTGTAAAATGAAGGGGTTGGAGTAGATGTCCTCTGAAGCCCCGTCCAGCACTAAATCTATGATCCTGTGTTCTTATGGGGACGTCTATAGGTGACCTCTAAGACCCCTCCCAGCTTTGACATCCTCTGTCCTAAGGCCCCCCCCCCCCACCCCAAGCTCTGACATTCTGAGTTCTAAGGTCCCTCTCCTACCTCTGGCATCGTATGTTCTAAGTTCGCTATAGGTCTCGTATTCCACGTTCAAAGGTCCCTCCCAGTTCTGACATTCTCTTCCCCTCTGTAAAATAGTGCTGTAGGGTATTTAGCACTTTCCAGAGTTACCTGGGCTCTCAGCCTGGGCTTCAGACTTAGGGGAGAGATTTCCATGAGGATTGCCTCCTCACTCCCCTCCCCCAACCCCCATGGAGCCGTCTCCCACCTGCACTGGGCCTTGGAATGGGGAGGACATAAGACCTAGATTCTGGACAGGATGGAAGGGTCAGAGGACAACCATCCCAGCAGTCACCAGGGCAGGCCCAGTGCCCAGGAAAGAACGCAAGGGCCCAGGTGACAAGCCTCCCGCCCCCGGCTGCAGGACCCCTACCAGCTTCCCCCGCTGCTGGGCGGAGCGGCTGTCGCGCAGGGTGTACACATTTCCGCAGACAGAGATTTCCCTCCAGACACCAGGCAAGGAGCCCTCGGAGAAGCCGCCGGCCGGGTGCATCACCAGGACACCATTGGTGGTCAGGCCGTCCATCAGCCCATCGGGAGTCCGCCACTTGGCTGCCCGCTCCTGGTACCAGGGAGAAGCAGTCACACCCTCTGATCTCCCACCTCCAGGCAGCGGCCTTTGTCCCTGTGTCTGCAATGTTCTCCCTCCCCTCTCTGGCCCGGTTCAGTGGGACCTGGCTGTTTGTCCTCTGCACTCACTCCTCCATCTTCCACTCTATGAATTCAGGCTCGGAACGGACCCCCTTCTCCCATTAGACTGTAAGCTCCTGGAGGGCAGGGCACTGACTTTTGCCACTCTTTGTATCCTCAGCACTTAGCACAGTGCCCGGCACGTAGTCAGCAGTTCATACGTGTTTATCGATGGGCAGACTTTCCTGGTCACCTTTCAGAATCTTTTCCTTAGAGGCTCAGCTCAGGCACCCCTAAGTCCTCTCCCCTCCTCAGATCTGGGTCTCTCTGTTGTCCGTATCATTCGCCGTCATGTATTTCCTGACTTGTGTACATGTTCTAGCACAGAGTAAGCGACTTGAGGGCAGGTCTGGTCTGGCCTTCCTGGCCCCTAATGAGTGCCTTATATACAGTAGGTGTGTAATAAATGTCTAACTGTACTGCTGAACTCCTGTGGTTCTCCAGCCTTCTCCATAAGGAGGACCAGTCCCTGTTTTGTCAGTAACAACCTTCCCCTTCCTACTCATAAAGTATACAGTTTTCATGAAATGCTGTGTATTATAATCACATATCTACTTGCATTTCACCCCCTCCTCAGTGACATGCTCCACACAGACTGGGATGTCTTATCTAAACTTCACATTTGTATCTGCACACTTTCCCTCAAAATCTAGCCCTGTGTTCTGCACAGGAGAAGGCCACTGTATGCTGAATGATCATTCGACAAACATTTATTAAGCACCTGCTACATGCCAGGCACAGTACTAGGCTCTGTGGGTGATAAATAAAACAGTCCCTGCCCACATGGAGCTTACATTCTTTCAGGGAGGCCCCACCTCAGGAAGGCCCCACCTCTGGGAGGTGGGGAGGATTCGTGTAAGAGGTGTGGGGCCTCTACGAGGCAGAGGTGAGGAGGGGGGCTCTCTGAGCACGAGGGACAGGGAGGTCAGAAATGGACTGCTGTGGGTGTGCGTCAGTAAGGCCGGTTTGGATGGACCTTAGAGGGGGTATAGGGGAGTCACCTGTAGAAGGGCTAGAAAGGAAGATTAAAGCAGGATATAATGGGCATTGGATGCCAAGAAGGAGCTTGTATTTGGCCCTAAAGGTAACAGGAAGCTGCTGGAGTTTATTGATCCCAAGGGGGGATCGAGCGGTCCTGTCTGGATCCCAGGGTACCCACCTCCAAACCTGACCTTCACCATCTATTTGTATGTCCTGCACCCATGTGCTCTGTGGGTGCCATTTTCCTCCAAGGCCATCCAGGGTGTACCCATCCCCCTCCCCTCTGTGTCACCCCCACTCCAGCCCCAAGTCCATCCCTGTGGGACTCACTCACTCCAAGGAAGATGTTGCTCGAAGCGTCGAAGCCAGCGGCATAGATCCGCGCTGTGTAGGGGGGCCAGCGCTCACAGATGACCCGGCAAGCATACCGGGAGATGGTGCTCTGGGCAGCCGGGCCCTCCCCGGCCACGCCCCCCGGGGCTGTGTCAGTGACCACGAAGTCGATCATGTTCTCCGTAGAGCGGCCGATCTGTGAGTGCCCACTCCCCCCAACCCCGCCCACCCGACAAGCAGGTGGGGGGGGATAGAGAACGACGGTGACTATTTGAGGATGCTCACAGACCAGAAGCATTGACCTAATGTCCACTTCTATGGGATGTGAAGGCTCATAAAGCCTTTCCTCCCCACAGGGCCCAGGGCCCAGAGGACAGGCAGAAGGCCAGGTCCAACCAGCACTGTTTTCACTTTTCCTTGGGACCTCCCACTTTCTACCAGGAGCCATCCAGCACTTTCTCCCCCAGGGCATGGCAGGGTTCAGGTCATCCACAGAGGCTGGGTGAGACCCAAGGCACTGGCAACTTACAGCAGGGCCAGTATGGAAGGGTCAGAGTTTTAGGGCCGGGAAAAACCTCAGAAGTCACCTAGTTCAAACCCCTCGTTTTACCCATGAGGAAATAGGCCCAGGGAGTTGAAGCTTCTCACTCAAGGTCACACAGGGAGGGAGAAGTAGCCCCTGGATTCGAGAGCTCTTTGCTCATTTCCTTTGATTACTCAGCTATTGAGGAATAGCTCTTGGTCTTATCCATTTGTGTCTGTTGCTTAGTTGTATCAAACCCTTCCCAGAGATATTTGATTAAAAGACTTTTCCCCAGTCAACTGCTTCCTTTCTTGTACTAGCTGCATTGATTTTATTTGTGCAAAAGCTTTTTAATTTAATAGAAATCATCTGTTTTCTCTTTTGTGACAAAGCCAGGATTTTAGACCCAGGTCCTCTGGCTCCCGATCTCCTTTCCTTTCCACTGAACTGTCTAGAATGGCTCCTCTTTCTCCAGTGAGGCAAGATTTATGCAGTGCTTTCCTCCCGCCAACCCCAGGAGGCAGGAAGCGAGAGGGTCATTATCCCCATATGACAGATAGAGAAACTGAGGACCAGAGAAAGGACGTGATGCTTACTACAGGAAGACTCTCTCTTTTAGCTTCCTTTATCTATAATCTAACATTTGCAAAGTACTTTACTTGTGTTATTTTATTTGATCCTCACAACAACCCTGGGAGGTAGGTGCTATTATAATCCCATTTTATAAATGAGGAAGCTGAGCTTAAGCGACTTGCCCAGGGTCACACGGCTAGTAAGTGTCTGAGGCAGGATTTTAATTCAGGTCTTCTTGATACAGAGTACAGAGCTCTTATCTAAGCTACCACTTAGCCACCTATCGAAGCCCTTCCCATCTTTCAAGACCTGGCTCTAATGACACCTCCTCCAGGAAGTCCTCCCTGATTTCCCCAGCTAGACGCACACTCTCCTTTCTCCACAGTCCCAGCTATTTACTGCCAAAGCAACCCACCTCAGGATTCTGTACCTACTGCCTTCTATCAGTCATCTGTGCATACAACTTACCTCCCTATTAGAGTATAAACCCTGTGAGGGCAGGGACTTTGTCTTTCACAATCCCTACCCAGTGCCTAGCATGGAGTAGGCACTAAATATGAACCGAATTGAATTCTCTTCTCTCCCCCATAATGCTTAGCACTAGACTGAGTAGCATCAACCCTGGATAAACACTTGTCGTTTCAGACATGCTCACCACTCCTGAGTCCTTCTTTGGTCCTCCTAACCTGCTTTCATCATCCCAGACCTAGACCTTCCGTTCTTTACTCAACTAAACTGTCAGCTTTGGGAAAGCAAGGATTGGGTCTTCGCTAAACTATAGGCCACTTATTAAGTGTGGAAGGAAAGAAGGAAGGAAGGAAAGGTGGGAGGGAGGGAGGGAGGAAGGGAGGGAGGGAAAAGGAAGCGAGGGAGGGAGGGAGGAAAAGGGGAGGGAACGAGGTAGGAAGGGAAAGAAGGAAGAAAAGGAAGGAAGAAAGAAAGGGAAGGAGGAAAGGAAGGAAGGGAGGGGGGGAAGGGAGGGAAGAAGGGACAGAGGGATGAAAGGAAGGAAGGAAGGAAGGATTGAGGAAGGGGGAGAGCCATACCTGGAACATGTCTGTGTCATTGTCGTGGGTGTATTCCACAATGACCGAGTGGCTCCGAGACAGTGTGTAGGAGATACTGTGCTGGCCCCGGTTACTCAGTGCCTGGGGGGGAGTAAAGGACAGTCACCCACCCAGCCCCCAGCGTCATTCTTTTTTTTTTGTTTTTTGTTTTTTTTAGGCAATTGGGGTTAAGTGACTTGCCCAGGGTCACACAGCTAGTACGTGTCAAGTGTTTGGTCAGAGGTCGGATTTGAACTCAGGTCCTCCTGACTTCAGGGCCGGTGCTCTATCCACTGCGCCACCTAGCTGCCCCCCCAGCCCCATTCTTGCCAGCCTCTCTAGGAAGATGGTAGGATCTATAAGGAGAGAAGATCACTAAGGAAGAACGGAACAGGAGAGAAGGAGAGATGTCTAGGCTGGGCTGTCCCTTACTTTGGACACGAGGGGGGTAGAAATATGGTGGACAACATCAGGCTTCACCCCGTTGGCCTGGGGTCTCCGGCTCAGTGCCAGGCGGCTGCGGCGGCGACCCTTGTCTCCGCTGGCCAGGGACCCATTGTAGCTGTGGGGAGAAAAAGGCACGGTGAGCACTGTTCTAGTCCAACACACTGCTGGTTCACCTCACCTTCTAGGAAGACCCCAAAATAACACACTGAGCTGCTGAGAGGCAGAAACAAGGAAAAGCTTTGTGAACTCCTCAGCTTGTCTTCTCCTCTATCCTCCTGTCGAGGGTACCACCATCCGTTGCTCTTCCTCTTCTGAAGCTGGACATCATGGTTGCCTCTTCCCTTTCTCTCTCCTTCATCCCCAACCAGCTGTCCCAGGTCCTCAGTCTCACCTCCATGAAAGCCTTCACAAGTGCCCCCCACTTTATTCCCTCTGCCTCTGCTCAGGCTTGCACTGCTACCCGCCTAGACACCTGTGAGAGTCTCCTGGCCATCCTCCCCTCTGACCTTGCTTTCAATGCATTCTTCAGACCACTACCAGAAGGATCTTCCTTACCCATAGATCTCCTCTGCTCAAAAGTCTTCAGTGGCTCCCTGCTGCCTACTGATTGAAGTTCAAATTCGACTTCCCATTCTGTCTGTCTGACCCATCATCCTCCTCAAGCATTATTTCATCCTAAGTCGTTCTATGCTCTCCAAACTACTCTGCTCTGTCCCCTCCTTGCCTTTCACCCATGCCCTGCTCTTCATAGGGAAGACCTCAGAGCTCTTAATCCCTCCTTCAAAGCCCAATTCCAACACTTCCTCCTTCAGGGAGCCTGCCCTGATCACCCCTATCAGTATGGACTTCCCTCAAACTAAATACCTCTCTGATCACACCATGTCCTGTCTCCTAGTTCTCTGAGTTTGTGCCTAACACCCCTCCTAGAGTAGAAGCTCCAAGAGGGCAGGGTCTGTGCCTGTCTCAACTTCCTCTTTCTCCCAATGCCCAGCACAAGACTCTGTACAGAACAGGACTGTGAGCCATTGCATGGCACTGAATTGGGGGAGACGACCAGGAATGGCTCCCAGAGCCCAGAAAAGGGGCCAGGAGGTTCCAAAGACCAACCAAGAGGCAGCAGCACAGGGGAGAGGAAGGAACACTGGCCTGGGAGCCAGGAGACATGGGTTGTGGTCTTTGCTCTGCCGCTTGAGGAGTGCACGACCTTGGGCACATCACTCCCTCTCTTTGGGCCTCAGTTTACCCCTCTGTAAAGTGAGTGGGATGAACTGAGTTCCCTTTCTGCTTTGAATGTTTTCTAACATTAGCTCCTTGCTTGGCTCTAGCCCTTCATTCCTGTTCTCCACAGAGCTCCCTGGGGTCTTTCTGGGCACCCTCCCTCATCTTCCACCCCCACCCAGGCCTCTAACTCCAGGCCCTCACCCCAGCACGATGAGCTCCCCATATTTGACAGGCTCCTTGCCCAGCAGCAAACTGTCCGAAGGAGGAGCAGGAAGGATTCGGGGGGTTTTGGTGCTGGTCTGCCGGAGGCCCAGGGATCCTGGGGTCCCCACGTCAGTGCTGCCTTCCAACACCATCCTACCAGAGAGAAAGCTGCTCAGACTCCCCCCTCCACCCAGCCTCCCCCAGACAGTTGGACACAATCTGGGCCCCAGTCCCCTGGCCTCCCCCCCTTCTGAATGGGGGACCTTTCACCTCCCCCATCACCATGGCAACACTGCCGCCTTTGCCTCCCCCAGCTGCCTAGTTACCATGGTAATGGGGGAGGGGGGAATAGAGGGAAGGGGATGCCTGGACAGGAGTGGCGAAGCTATGGGGCTTCAGAGACGTGGGGCCAGCCTGGCTGGCGACAGTCACCTCTTCAGGAGAGGATCTGGGCTGCCTCCTGGACAAGACCCCTCCCCCTTAGAAGAAGCTTTCCCCCTTTCTGGACACCAGGGAGTAAGAAGCCCCCAGCCCCATCGGCCCTCGGGGTGCCTGGCTCCCCCCACGGCCCTCTTAGGCACAGCACTTCGGGCAGTCTCTGCCCCTGGCCTTGCGGCGCTCCTCGGGTCTCTCCTCGGGTCTCTCCGCACCTCCCCATTTATCTCTGCCTCCCCTCCAGGGTCCCTCCCGCCCTCCGGATTTCTGCTCAGCAGGCTAGGCTTTCCCTGGGCCAGTGGTGGTCCCCCTGCCCATCTGCCCATCTGCCCATCTGCCCATCTGCCCATCTGCCCATCATCTGCCCATCTGCCCATGTGCCCATCTGCGTGTGCGTGTCCCAGTGTGTTCGGGGATGCTGCGGGGGCTGCTCTCACCCTCATCTCTCCTCCTCTGACCCTCCCGGTGCGCCCTGAGCTGAGGCTGCAGCAGACTCGCCCTCCTGCAGGGAACCTGTTTGGGAAACACAGCCACGCAGGGGACGCGCGCGCGCGGGAGGGACGGAGGGAGGGAGGGGAGAAGAGGGGGGCGGCCCGAGCCGCGCACCTCGAGACGGGCTGGCGCCGCCGCCGGGGGGGGGGGGTGACAGCGGCAGCATCGGGAGCCAGACTAGGACCAGCCACCTACGCTGATCCCCCCCCCCGGAGGCCCCGGGGGGGTCTGGCCGCGGGGGTCTGGACACTGGGACCCCTGCCGCCCCCTCCCTCCAGTGCTCCCCCGCATCACGGCCTCCAGGCCCCGCCCACCTTGCTGGCTGCCCCCTGGGGTTGCCCCTTACCTAGCCCCGAGGCGCTCCTGGCCGCGGGCGGGACCGCAGCGGCTGGACCGGGCTGGGATGCTCCGGGCCGAGCTGGGCTGGGCCGGCCCGGCGGCACCACCGCGCTGCCTCGTCACGGGGACACCCAGAGCTGGGGGGGAGGGCGAGAAGGACGAGGAAGGGGAGGGGGACGCGCACCACCAGAGGCCCCGCCCCCTCCTCGGGCCCCGCCCTCCGGGACCGGAGCTCCGCCTCCTCTAGCCCCGCCTCCTGCGGCGAAACCTCGCACCTCGGGCAAGGCCCCGCCCCCTTCCACGGGGCTCCGCCCCTCCTCCGTCTTTCCCCGCCCCCCCCACCTCCCGCCTGGCCTGGGGACCCCCATCCCCTCCCAGCTGAGGCTGGGAGCCAGCCTACCCGGGCCCCTTCCTACTACCCTGATGCTCATTCGTCTGTGTGTCTGTGTGTCTGTGTGTCTGTGTGTGTCTGTGATGGGGGGAAGGCAGGTGTGGGTCCAGGAAGGACAGAGGAGAAGGAGGAGGAGGAGAAGGGGGAAGGGGGCAGCAAAGCCCAGGGGCTGAGTCAGAGGGTCAGGGCAGTGGCTGAAGAGCCCTGCATGAGGGTCCAGAGGTCTAGAATCCCAGCTCTGCCCCTTGCTAGTTCTGTAACCTCCAACTAGTCACTTCAGGGCTCTGGGCCTCTTTTCCCCCTCTACAAAATGGGTAGGTGCGCTAAATGGCCCCTACAGTCCCTTCTTGGGCCTTACAGGTCAATAGGCCCCAAGGATTTGAAGCCTGTGGGAGAATCAGGGAAAGCAAGATCTCTAAGAAAAAAGAAAGAGCAGCTGTCAAGGGGTCAGGACCTATGCCTGGCCCTGCCCCAGCCCACAGCGGCTTGGGGCATCGAGCCTCGGCTCTGGAATTAGACAACCTGGATTCAGACTCCTCCCTGTGTTTCCTTGGGCAAGTTATGTGACTTCTCTGGGCCTCAGTTTCCCCATCTTTAAAAATGAAGAGCTTGAGCAAGAAAACTTCCCTCATGGTTCTTAAGCCAGGACCCCGAGACCCCAAGCCCATCTATTGCTGCTTGGAGAGAGGAGACATAGAATTGTTCCACAAACTCGGGGAGGAAACTGAGGAACATCTTTGAAAACCCAGTCCACGCTCCACACAGAGGGGAGCAATGGAAACAGGGCCCTCCCGGGAACCGTCGTCTCCCCACTTCTGATCTCATGGCGGTCGTGTTCAGGGGCTCCCGGGTCCATGCCTTGTCCGCTAAATGAATCTCAGACTTCTGCAGTCTGGAATCCAAGGCCCTCCGCAGCCGGACCCCAGCCTGCTCCTCCCCATCAGCTTTCCTCCAGATCAGTCATCTCACTCATGTTGCTCCATCCAACTTATGTCGTCCTCTGCTGCTTTCATGCTGTTGAGAAGGCTGTTCTCCCATGAACCCCGCCTCCTTCAGCTAAAAGGGACCTGGAGGCCGGGGCTCCGAGCTGGAAGGATCATTCCAGTCCACCCTGCCCTGAGCCCCGAGGGACGGATCACCTGGCTTGTGTCACCCTCCGCTGCCTCCGTCTCTCACTTGTGCCAAACCGGGGGCTCCTGGAGGGTAGACCTCCCCAGGAGCCCACACCCTACATCCTTGCAATCTCCCAGACCAAAAGCCCCCTCCTTGGCCGCCACTCCCCTAGGTAAATGCTTAAGAAATGCTTTTTCATTCATTCACATAGTACTTTTTATTATAATAATAATGCCCAGCATTTTTATAGTGTTTTAAGGTTTACATAGTGTTTTCTGTCTACTTTTTGAGTCTCACAACCCTGGAAGGTAGGTGTTTTATTATCCCCATTTTGCATATGAGGAAACTGAGGTGGTTAAGTGAATGGCCTAAGGTCACAGAACTGGCAAGTGTGCACCAGGCCAAATCCAGGACTGGCTGTGGTCAACAAACGTTTATGCAGCTGAGGGAAGGACATCAGTGAATTCACAGGTGGCAGTCAGCCATCTGTGTGCTGAGTCCTGGGCTGGATGCTGAGGCCAGGGAGGGGTAAAGCTTGAACCCTGTCCCTGCCGTCATGGTGTTCAAAGTTCAGGATGGTGAGGACACTCCGACATAGATAACTCAAATTCACAGTATCATGTCACAAATTCCCAAGCGAGGTCACATAGAATCACAAAATCGGAGAGCAGAAAGTGAGCTCAGCCGTCCTCAAATCTCCCGCCGGTGCCCAAGAAAGCGTCGTCCTTTCCAGAACCCCGAGCCTTTGCACTCAGTTGTGTCCCCTGGGACCAAGCAGAATAAATGCAACCCCCCTTTCACAGGACGGCCTTTCAGATCCTGGATGACAGCTTGCAGGTTTCCTGAGCCGTAAGCTTTTTCTTCTCCAGGCTCCGTCCCCATTCTCTCTTTGTAACACGAGGGTAGGGAAGACAGAATCCTGGGTCTTGAGGAGTTAACAGTCTAGAGGTGATAAGTCAGACAGAGATAATACTCGGACCAGGATTTGGTGATGCTTCCCTGGGCCCCTCCAGTGATCTGCGGCTCCTAACATGTAGCCCTCCAAACCCTCTGTTGCTGCCCGACCAGGGCAGAGCCCCGGGGGTTAACATCTCGCTAGTGATGGATACCATACTTGCACACGATGCAACTATTCCTCCCTCACTCTGGCCTCTTCCCTTAGCTCCAGAAAAGTGAATCCATCCAGAATCTGACTTCATCTAGAAAAGATCGGGCGTCTTGCACCATTCCTGCCGGTGAACCAGAGGGCAAATGGCTAATTAGTGAAGATATAGCCCTTAGGTAACCAGTATCAGTAGCAGGAGCAGATCAGGCCTGATCCACTCAGCCTTTCTCTGAATATCTCCCCACGAGCAAACACACACGATTCAGTGCAAACCTCCCCTGATTTTCCAACTTTGAGGGATTCCTTCACATCCCACCCCTCTGTAGAGTTCACTCCCACTTAACCACAGTCAAATACAAGGTTTCTCAACCTTTTATGTGTTATAAAAGGCAGTCTGCTGAAACTTACCCCTTCTTAGATTAATGTCTTTAAATGCATAAAGTAAAACAAAATACATAGAATTACAGCAGAAACACAATATATTGAAATATAGATAATTTTAAAATAATTTTTATATGATTAAAAAAAAAGAAATCTATCTACAGACCCCAGGTTAAGAACCCTGGTCTAATAGGTATTGTCTTTGTGTGTGACCGATCACCTCTAGTCTGTAAACTCCTCAAGGCCAGAGATCATGTCTTCCTTATCCTTGTACTGTCCTCAACCATCAAGAGCAAAGCAGAGACTAAAATATTTGTCAGATGAATGAATGAAACATTGAATGACAATTGCATTTTTGTTCCTCCAGTCTTCTCCCCAATGCCCTTCCATCTCTCCTATCCCAAATCTACCATCCTTCCATGCCCTCCCACCTCCCCTATCCCAAATCTACCCATCTTTCAATGCCCTCCCTGCTCCCCTCTTCCAACATACCGATCCCTCAAGCTGCAGTCCTTTATCCCTGATGAAGCCTTTCTTGACTACCTCCTCACTAATCTCCTCTTCCTCCTATCATGCAGACCCCAAAATGGAGCATGAAGCCCAATGCCCAGAACAAAGCAAACACTTATTAAAAGCTTGGTGATTGATTAGTTAAATAATGCCATGTTCTCTGCTGTTCTCCTGGGGAAGGTGCCCCCAGAGATGTCCATTTTCATAAATTATTTCCCAAGATGCCAGGGAGACAACGTTTGAATCATGGTGGAAAGAATATAAGAGTTGGAGCCTTCATTCTGGCCCAGGAACTTACTGGCTGTGTGCCTAACACTGTGTGGCTGATATAACCCCTCTGTGTCTCAGTTTTCTCATCTGTAAAGTGAGGAATGCTTTTGGTGCTT